TGTGTGTGTATGTGTGTATGTATGTGTGTGTGTATATATATATATATATATTATTTTTTTCCATTCGAATTCCTATCTTTTCTGCTGTACTTCTCTCTTGGTCTAGCCCTTCCAACTCACAATTATCAAGAGATTCATCTTTTATTCTTCCTGAAACCATTTCAAAAATTTCATTATTTAGATAAAAAGATAAAAAAGAAGACAGAAAGAGAGAGAATGAGAGAGAGAACTGCATTTTAATTTTTTTTAGAAAACACTATTCCTAAAACTTTAGGAAATATTAAATTGTGTTCAACACAAATTTAATATACTAAACAAAGTCCATAAACATAACTTGATGTTCTTATCAAAAATGATGATTATTGTGTAAATTGATAGGGTGGCATTAAGGTGACGGGATCCAATATAGCTGATTGAACAGTTTGAGTCCAGGACCCAGCGGCTTGAAAAACGTGCCTGGAGCACGTGCATGAGAGCTCTAAATCCTGAAAATAGATTGGAGGAGCAGGATTGTGCTGTGACCGTCCGCATGCAGGCTACTCTTTCTCACTTTGTCTGTCTCTCTTTGCCTTGTGAGCACATTTGCCATTGTAGCAAATAAAAAAATGAAAAGGTAAGTACAATTATCATCTTCCCTAGAGTGCAGCACATGCAGTAACTATGTAACAAATGGTACAACTACAAATGCTATCATTATATTTTCTTGAGAAATCAAAATATACTTCTCATTACCCAATTTAAAATTTCTTATGCTGTATAATCTATCAATTTAAAATACAGTTTTCAGTACATACTTGCTTAGGGAAAACATTTAATAGTCCCCTAATTTAGGGTGCCCCTGAATTACCATATACAACATACCAAGTCTTAATAAAAGCCTGATGAAATAAATGTTACTAGATACCCAATATGGTTACATTTGTTGTGGCCGAATAGTGTAATCGACTAAGCTCTTGGTGTTAAGCTAGTTTTTCTGATAATCAGTAGCAAAGAGTTTCATAACTTTCTTACCTTTGGGGGGTTATTTTTATAATACGACACCTATGCAATTTACTTAACTGTTTAATTAAATGATGAGGATAGGAATAACGATGCTAAAACTGGAAAAGTTTTACTATATATATATATAAAAAACAGATATATTTCTTTTTTTTTTTGTGTGTAGAAGTTTTTTATGTTTTCTTT